GCCCGAGTGCGTTGCGGTCGACGGCTCCAGCTGGGAGGATACGGTCGGCATTGACGAGAAGAGATCCCCGAGTGCGTGAGTTCCCGTCCGTCTATGAGATGAATTGAGCACACATGAACGCAAGGCCGCTGGCCGAACAAGACGATTTGAAACCCAGGCTGAGTGATGACTTGCGGTCACATGGTTCGCTGGTTGATGTGGATGTGTGGGATCCTGGGCGGTCTGTGAAGGCAGAATGGGGGGGTCGTGATGATAAGAGATAAGGCTCCCGAACCCAACTTCATCGGCTTTATCATTAGCACAGGGCACTGGCGATCATCTAACCATCCAGACGGCCTTGATTGATCATAGCAACCGTACATAGCATCTCAGAATATTAAAGCATCGCCATACGAGGCACCAGTTGCTGAAGCTGGAACATTGAATCCGAAACTTACGTTGAGGGGTCATATGAAGCTCGGACACATCGCCGCCAACATGACAGATCATGTACCCCGGCTGACCTCCGGTTCAAGCATCAAACAACAACAAACATCTGAAGTCGCCTTCTGGGCACCCTGCCTCCATATAAATAAATCGCGGAGATGGGCAAGAGCAATAAGAAGCCGTGAACCCACCTCGTACCAGCACCCTTCTGCCCGGTTCTCGGTCTTGTCTCGGGGCTTCGGCGTTCGGTGTCACGGAGGCTCCGTGGTTCTTATTCCATCCATCTAAATGAAACAAATCTTAGACAAACGGCACAGAGAACACTGGTCGACCTAGCACGTGGACAAGAGTTCCTAGGTAGGTACCCATTGCGTAGAAAGTTGAAGAACCAACGTGTGCCTGAAAAATGGCTACCCTATACCCCGGCCCTTGAACAACCTCCCTCCGCCGCATTCAGGAACAGGCATAAGAAGAGGAACACGCGGGCTCAAGATGGAAAGCGCATACTTGCTCTGTGCTTCATTTTAGACAAGTTTTGGCAAATTTGATGGTGTGGATTACGGAAATATCGAACGTGGTTCCAGATCGTTGTTACTTAAGTCTTTAGAAGAACCTCAACTGAGTGATTTGTCCCTGTGAAACACATCCTCACTCCCCGTTTCGGTATGTCCTGAGATACTTCCCCGCGACATGACAAAGCATTAAGTTGATGAGCTACCAATCCTAAAAATCGTTACACTATTATAGGTACGGAGTATTGGCTACCTTACCACATGGGGATGCTCTAGCACTCGGGCTAGTAAAACCCCGAGTCATGCCTCCCCAATCTCATAACTTGGCTTAAGATATGACTATAGAAAATAAATTCCCTCGTTCATCGGGAATCTATCAATCGGAGAGGAGAACCCTATCATTTAGAATCGATCTTGGCCGTCGTAGCTGCGCACATGCCATAGTTTAATCCTGCTCTAGCGTCGGCCAGTTCATAGGGTATCAATAGTTTCGGACGGAAATGTCCAATAATGAGCTGGACCAAACCCATCTCTTAGGTGGTGTTCGATCGGGCACGGGAAATAACCCATGATAGATCCCACTCGGGCGTCGGAACTTATACGCACATCATGGGGCTAGATCATGAATGGATATGGCCGGACTTGGAGTCCGGCTCAATCTTTTACCACGAGCCACCACGATGACACATAATTCTTGGGGACAAGCCATCTAGACCGCTCCCGATTTATTCAGGGCCGAACTTGATGGCTGAGAGAGAGCAGTAGTTCACCGTCTCTAGTGCCAGTTAGCGTCTTACACGTCGGCTTCTTGGCAGGGGGCTATCGCGTCCCGCGAGGTCTTGGTCTGAGCTTTTGACGTGAGCTTCTCCATCATGTTGAAACTCGCTGAATAGGATCTTTTGCCTCCCAGGCATTGGCCTCAGTTTACTGCTTGGGGGCGGGCTTCCATGGACGGATAGTATGCATGCTGCCACTCCAAAGCCTGGATATCAACCGGCTATCAGTTTACCCCTTTTCATAAAGTAGAGTGAGCGACGTGGATCACAATGACATTTTCGGCTGCCTCTAGTACTCTTGGTCCTGCAGAATGTCCCCCGAGAGTGGAGTCGTTACGAAAGTTTGAAATGGCTAGTTTTGAAGAACCACATCTAGTCGGAGGAGCCCGATTCACTTCGATGTTTGAGGTGTTCGTGGAGGGCTGGGCCGTATGACTCGCGATTCCGACCCCAGTTTTACCTGCAAAGCAATCTAATTACGGAATAAAGATGCAGGATTGTAGGTTTATATTTCTATTGTGCGCCGGGGTCTGCCCTCGCTGTGCTGTGCAACTTACTTTATCTTTGTTTTTGCGAGATGCTTCCAACTTGTAGCTAAGGGGGAGTGTTTCATTTCCATTCGACGACGCGTCTGTGCAACCCGACAAATTTATCACATAGAGCATCGCACAGAAGAGAGAGACTACCAGGATGTATGTGCTGGGAGAGGTTGACGAAACGGTACGCCCAGCATCGGCTCCGACACGCAAAGGCTCGATCGGTGAAGTCAACGAATGGGACTGGCACTAACTTTTTGCACAGTTCCTCCAGGAAGTATGGATTCTTTATGGCATCGGTACCCTGATCTTGGTGCTTCGGCATGTCATCCGCGCCCGCAGTGTTGGTTTCAAGGGCCTTCATGGTGATGATTACTTCGCCATGCTTGTCCTGGCTCTCTACACTATTGACGCAGTCACCGTACATAATGTTTGTAAGGATATTTTCGCCACTGAGATACGCCGAACTTCCATTTGCTTACTCCAGTGAAGACTACATGGCAACAAACGTCGAGGGATCGGTGATCCAGACACAACGAGGTAAGACCCATTTTCTCGCTCTGATATAGGCAGCTAGAATTATTCGGAGTACTAAAGCAGCCTGAACTTATAGTTCTTACTGAAAGAGAGATATCGCAGCTTGTTGAAGGCTCAAAGCAGGAGCTCGTTGCGTGGTACTCTTATGCCATTCTCGTGTGGTGTCTCAAGGGCACCATGGTTTGCTTCTTCATGCGCATGACAATGGGTCTCTCGCAGCAGCGACTAGTAAACTACATTGGCATTGCTTGCATTGTTTCATATGTTGCTGTCTTTCTAACCGTATGAATTTCCCACCATGGCGCAGGTTGAGCAACTCAAGCTGACGTGACGCAGATCACCTTCGGATGCTTTCCCGTCCACTTGAACTGGCAGTAAGTCAATATAATATTTTCACTGGTATGTTCATTCATACTGACCTCATTTGATAGAGTGGTTCCGGATCCTGGACGTATGCTATTTCTTTCCTTGCCGGCGCTGTTTTTAAAACACTAACAAAAATTAGGAAAATGTACTCTGAAGCCCCAGAACTTCTTTGTCATGACAGTTCTGAACGTGATGTAAGTCTTCAAGACAAGAATCTTATATATAGAGACGAGAAAAAGGCTGATGACCGTTTAGAACCGACGCTGCCATCTTATACGTGCCGCTACCCCTGCTATGGACCTTGCGTGTGCCCATTCGACAGTACGTCCAACTCCCGCCGACTGCAACTCAAAGCTAACTGCCGCGAAGGAAACTCGTGATTGGCATTCTTCTGTCCTCTGGTATCTTCGTCATCGCCGCAGCCCTCATCCGAATCGTGTCCACCTTGTCTGTCAACCCTTCGGCCCTCACCGTCAATCGCTGGGGTGTCAGGGAGACTCTGGTTGGGATCATCGCCGTCAACGTCCCGATCCTTCGACCGCTCTTCAGCAAGAACTTCTGGCTCAATGGCGCCAGGACCGGAAGTGGAACAGGTCCATCTACCACCGGACTGAGTGTTGGGGCGCAGGGTCCCTACGAAATGGCACCTAGTGTCAATGGAGAAGAAAGCGTCTCTAAGCCGAACGGAAGCGAAGAGAACATCATCACAAAAGACGCCCGGGTCACTGTTAAACCTAAGAAGAAGATGTCAGAGGGCAACAACGTGTTTGTGCACAAGACATATCAAGTTACGAATGAAGCGAACGACGGGCCGAATTGGCAGACGGGGACGTTTTCTGAGTCCAAGGCCACAAGGCGTGGCGATGACAGTGTGTAATGTATGATGGTGGCGATATTGATATGATATGAAGTATACGTTCGATGGCACATGTTTTTAGACCAAATGGCCAGTAGGAAGAGCCGAAAGTACATAATCAACATTAATTATACAATTAAAGTCTATGTATCAACCACGAACTTTGTGCCCTTGATTTAGTATGGGTAAGCTAGAGTAGGTATTCGCCAATCTCGGCCGAGTAGTTTATGCCCCAAGCCCTGGTCCTCCACAAATATAGAAAAGAGTTAATAAGCTAGATTGCGATAATGTTTGAAGCATCGGGTTTAAATTGGTCTCTGAGAGCCCTCATATGCCTGCCTTGGAGGGTGTTTGGTTTGGTGGAGATCCCCTCAGCAGGTGTTTGTTTTCCCAGCTGCTGTTTGTAGCCTGTGCCCCTAACGCCATCATACGACCAGACTCGAGCCGGACCCAGATCAAGGCATAGACTTTGGTCAAGTGGCTCTGACCGAGAGGATAAGCAATGATTTCCCCGCCTTGACATAACCATTGAATGTTACCAGGTGCACTATCTAATGGATGCGCCCATCAGCAGATTATAACTCGCAATTGGTGGGATTTAATCTGACATGCATACCGTGTCGGCTTTAAGTCAGACTCATTTAAAAAGTGATAAGAGTATGGGTAGCACTGACCCCATTCGCCCAATAAAAGCTCGCCACATTGATGGGTTGCATTTCAGCTCCGGTGAGAACACAAGCCATTCACTTATACGGGCAAAAGCGCGAAAATGACGAGAGCTAACCTGATGTCAAACAGGGATAAGCAACGAGGCTGAAGCCTAATTGAATAAGATTAATTTGCTCATAAAGACAATACCTTACATCTAGACACCACAGTTGAAGCATTCGCCATTTGTTTGGTTTGAAATTAAGGAATTCAAACGTTTATCTCGTTTCCCCGAGCCATTAAGATTCTTCTCACTGTTACTCAGAAATCTTATCTTCGTGAAATGTCTGCAATGGCGGATAGCATCAATACTGACCGCAATGATGGGCCGATCGATGAAGAAGGTGAAGGAACCAACGAAAGCAATGTATCCGACCATCGTCGTTCTCCCTCTGTCCGAGACCCTGGTGCAACTGTTGATACTCGATCGCAAAGCTCGAAGTCTACGGACATCGTGCCTGGGAGGAAACATGCTCTTGAGAAGATCCGTGCTCTTCTGGATGAATTTGAGCATGGTAGCAATAAAGAAAGTGATGAATGCCACCAAGAAGGTCAAGAAAAGGAGAATATCGAGCTTATTCGCAAGGATAGCGTTGAGAAACAAGTTGTCGACAACGATATTGACAAGCTGAGGGATCTTCTGAAGGAGCTGAAGAGCTTGGGCACCGAAGAGTATGTTGATGATGTAACCGATCTCGCATTCGAGGCTAGCCCAGGCCCCCCCGGGGTGATCGAGACTCTCATTGAAGCAGGAGCACTCGTTGACGAGGCTGAGGGGGGCGGAGAGCCTTTACTACACTTCGCCTGCCGCAACGGCCATACATCGACTGTGAAAAAAATAATAGAACGAAAACCGACAAGCGTTAATCAGCCTTCGGCAGGTTGGGAGCTTACTCCCCTGCATGTAGCTGCTTTGTATGACAAAAAAGGCGTTATCGAAACCCTGTTGAGCGCAGGCCCGGAAATCAATCCTCAAGACACGGATGGATGGACTCCACTGATGGCCGCAACAATTGAAGGATATGGGGACATTATGGATGTTCTCCTCTCTCAGGAAGAGATCATAGTCGATATGCCGGATCATGACGGGCTCACGCCTTTGTTAGTGGCGACCAAGAGGAGGTTTCTTGAGGGCGTCGATAAGTTGCTTGGTGCTGGTGCAGACTACAATGGCGGTCCAGATGGGGGCGAGAAATGCCTGCACTGGGCTATGTGGAGATTCTCTCGCCCGATTTTCGATCGTTTCATGGAAATTGATGAGGGACTCGCCATTGATATTCAGGATAGTGAGGGTAAGACAGCTTTGCATTACGCATGCGGGTCGCGTCACCAGGAGATGGGCGAGCAGTTTACACCAGACGAGGACCCTGTCGAAACGAGCACCAATGAAGAAACGACAGGGACCGAGAAGAAAACCAATTTTACCGAGATCATCAAAAAGCTAATAGAAAAAAGGGCTGATCCATGGATGACAACCAAAAAAAATAAGACAGCCCTGCATTTTGCTCTCAAACACAGACGGTCGGACTGCAAGGAACTTCTCCTAATATTTTCCATCAGGGCAGAACGTCTAGCGCCTGGCGACTGGGACGAAGAAATCCTAATACATGCCGAATTCAAGAACAGAAAATCTGACAAAAATGGGTACATTCTCAGCCATCTGATGGGTATACTGAGTAACGCCCCCAAAGAGTTGGAGGAAACTCTTCAATGGGCAGTAGCGAGCCACAGCCGGCATGAATTTGCAAAATATCTCTTTTCCAAGGACTATAAAGAGGACGAGGACGAAAGAAAAAGTTCCTGGAGCGCACTCAGATGGGCTATTTATTACAGAAGACAAGAGCTGCTATGGTGGCTTATTGCAACCTCTCCTCGGAATACTGTGATGGAAGAACAAGTCAAGGCCGCTCGAGGGATTAAAGAAAACGACGAGTGGGTTGTAACGAAAAGAGAAAAACTTAGGGATGATATTTTCAAGACTGAAAAGGGAGCGAAGGAAGGTTCTAAGCAACCAGACGACAAGACGATCTGGAGGGCTATTCAAGACATACTCGAGAATCCACCACTCGCGCAGATATACAGAGACACCAATACTCTGGAACCACCGGAGCTAAATCTCAAAGGTGGAGGAATACCAGTTGGATTCAAATCACTTATAGTTCGTTTCTACAAGGGTAGAACTAATTCCAATGCTATTCGGTTATCACGAGATGTGCAGCAAACTATATATGGGGCTGGTGTGACCCGTATAATGAAGAATGAAACCAAGAGACTCAAGGATATCCTCGATATTGGGAGAAAGGGGACACAACTGGAGAAGCTATCACGAAAATATCAAACCATGTACGATGATGAGAAACTCAAATTTACTTGGATTCATCTTCCGGCTACAAACGTGAGTATAGTTCTCTTCCTTCAGGAGACGCGTGCTAAGTTCGATTAGATGGACTGGATGAAGGTAAAATATCCAACTTCAATTATTGCCTTTGCTCTACTTCAATCCTAAGGACAGTATTGACAATAGCCCTAGGACTTATTGAAGAGAATCATGATCGATGACAAAAAGACAGCCGACGACTTTCATAAGGTCAACTCATTCCTGCGAGATACATGGTTCGAGATTCCCGACCGAGAATCTCCATCGCGTATAATGCGGCCACAATTTGTTCAAAGAAAACAATCAACAAGGGATAATCAGGTGAAAACTAAATCACCTAATATTACGAATGAATCAAACGATAAAAGGCAATCCAAGATACCTGAAATTCAATCAGATCAAACCACCAAGCAAGAGAACAAGCAAGACAAAGAGACCCAGGAAAAGAAAGTCGACTTTGAGGAGGATTTTATTGCTGTATCAGCCATCTATGTAAGAGGATCCCCCTTCATTTATTTATTTTGTTTGCTTTAGCTTGTCGAATTAACTTATAAATTTAGATGCCATTTCTATCATTCTCTACCCATTTTCAAAGCCCAGCATCTCACACCATACCAAACAACGATGAGAGTTCTGACAAAAGGAATCTCCTATCAGCAGGCAAACATGAAGAAATCGACGATTCCAGAGTGAAAGAACGGCCATTTGAAGGACTCAAACGCGCACAGGAACAGCACAATAAATTGATCAATACTTATAAAGATGTCGTAATTCATAGATCAGCGACTCTGGATGAGTCATATTATCATTTTGCGTCAAACGAATCTGGAGACGGCAAAGAATCTCACGACGACAAAGAATCTCATGCTGACCAGGAGCGTCGAAATAAAGAGCAGATAGTCACAAAACTATGGGAGCGGACCAATGATAAGTCTGCTGGTCGAGATGATCCCTGGCCAATACTTCGAGTTAATCAACTTTGGGTTTGGACAATCAATGACAGTAAGTACGGTTGAAAAAGACCAGTTAAAAGGATCATTATTCTAACCCGAGTAGAATGGCTAATTAGCGCGACCTCTCATCCAATTGATAACACAGACAAGATGTGGGTTGATGGTTTCGTTGAGTATCTCAACAAGCAAGCAGACGCCGGTGGAGTTCAGTCCCAACCAGCATCAGCAGAAGAGATGATGAAAGTCATGGTTGACTATTGCATTGGGTCATATGAGAGGAGGCGACAACCTGCAGAATCAGGACATGAACATCACGACAAGCCCGTGGAACAATTTACAAACTCAGACCGCGAGAATAACGACAATTCAGAGCAAAAATCTATAGACTTCGAACATAAAGGTCATGACAAGCAAGACAAAGCCAAGAACCACCACCAGAAGCATTTGCTGTCAATTCGCCAACGGTTTTCCCAGTACATAAACTATGTCGTAAGCTGATTAGTCGAATTTAATATAAACATCAGAATCTACCTAGCTAACTTACGAATAGGGAATACAGGAAACAACCCTCTTTAACAAGTTCAATGAATTGGTAGAAATCCAACAGAAATCTACTTCAGGGATCATCAAACTCAGAGATGAGATCTTCAAAGCACACAAGTTATTCATTGATGTTAAAGACATTCGTGATGAGCTTAACATTCTGAAATCAATTGCAAAGTACCAGGAAATAGTTCAAGAAAAGATGCTGGGTAAGAAACATTGTGCAGAGTTGAACCTGCCTGCAAGCTATGTGGTCAACGATATTGCGGAGATGGATAAGCTCGTGGAAAGGATCCAGTCTGCCGTATGTTGCTGAATTGCCTGATATTTTGTTTATGCTGCTCACAAGCGAGGAAACCAGATTCAAACGACCCTTTCTCTTCAGCAAAGCGAAATAGCGAGCCTCCAGGCAGATGAGGCCGTGAGTCAGGGGAAAACAATGATGGTATTTACAGTAGCTACCATTTTATTCGTAAGTTTAGTATTACACGAACAAGAGAAACAACGATTTTAACTCTATCCTAGTTGCCGATGTCATTTCTCTCATCGCTATTTGCGTTGGATATTGATGCTTTCCAAAGCACACCAGCGTGGGTCTTTGTGGTGATATGTGTGTACCAACCTGAGCGAAACCCCCCTGGGCTCACCAAGTGCTAATTGTACATTTTTAGTTCTGACTTCTCTCTTACTGTTTATCCCATTTGCGGCCTATACAATTTATCATAAAGGTATTGATAAGTTCCTGATTAAAAGGAACATAAAGCCTGGCACAGGAAACAAGACGGAGGTTTCAAGTGATGGTAAGTCTTTTTCGACGAAAAGTGAAAAGAGTGCTGCAGAAAGCACGTCAGCCAGTGGGAGCATCCTCAGATGCCGGACAAAGACGCAGGATATTGAATCAGGTCAAGGGTAAAATACATAGTGGTCGTGTGTCTCAAATTTAGTTCAGTTATGGTTAACTTCCAAAGATAGATGATATTAAGTAACGGCTAGTATTTATATTATTAGAGAGGAAATATTAACAGCACTGCCAGAAAGTACTCGTTATCTTTATGTTTTATATAATCCAAACAATAAACCAAGTCCTTTACACCCAAGCTTAGGCATCCTGTGGTTGTGGTGATGTATAAGGTGCTACGTATATTTAGTCTTTGAATGTGCTTTTGATGATCTTGGAGAGTCGGGCTCGCTAATTTAGGGCTGCGGAGAACGAAAACTGGCGACGGCTGTGGTATATGACTAGAGCTTGTATTGGTAGATGTAAATTTGAGGTGCTTGTCATGTATTTTTACGACTGTTCCGGGGCGGTAGCCTTGAAATAGGAAGAAACAGATGAGTGAACACAACCTCTGTTTCCTCTGAACCTTGGCTGTTATATATAACAGTCAAGGGGTATTCTATGGCCAGGAGAAAATGGTCGAGCAAGCAACCCTATGCCCAGGGATAGCAATAATAGCATCAGCCACTTAGGCCAATCTTGAACAGAAGGTTATTCCAAAAAGCTATTGTTCTGGCATGGATAATGAACGGAAAATCATCTATAAGATGTATGCGCAATGTGGGTGTTGATTAATGGCCTCGTGCCAGGACGTGAGGCTCCGGTTACTCAAATGCAAAAGGGGCAAGCCACCCCAAATAAGTGATGGTTTAGACACTGCTCTATGAGGAAAGCCACCCCGAGCTGCCCGCCTTTCCTTCGCTTCGATGTCCGAACGCTTCCTGGCCTAAAAAAAATGCATTTACTTATCTTTGTATCTACAAGATATACCCGTTGATGACTCACGCGAGAGGCTAAAATTATCAGAAGCCCCCGACCGGAATGCCTCCCGAGACTTGATAAATTTGTTATTCCCACATCATCTTCCTTACCTCATCACCACCATAATCCCCTCACCCTACCCCGCCCAACGACAACAAAATGCCCGGCTTTCTTGTACTCGACAACGACACTATCACGGATATCTTCCTCAGTTTGTCTAAGGAAGATATCCTCAAGTTCAAACATGCGTTTGAGACGACAATCAGGGAATTTATCCTGGGGGCGGAGGGTTCCTTACAGCCTCAGCCAAATACCGTCGTTCGTCCAGAAGGGGGGAAGACGCTCTTCAGGCCGTTTACTGGACCCAAAAGCGTTGGAGTAAAAATCGTGACTACACCTCCCCCCAGGCCGGGCGAGAAGCTCCCTCTCGGAGGTATCATCACCCTCTCCGACGAAAACGGTGTACCGTCGGCTATCTTCAACGCAGCCGAAATCACTGGCTTCCGAACCTCTCTCAGCGCCTTGATTCCGTGGTACTGGAGGAAGCACACAGAACATATTGTTGTTCTTGGTGCCGGGAAGCAGGCTCTTTGGCATACCCGTCTCGCGTTAGCCCTGAGGGGCGACGAGATCAAATCTATTACAATCTATAACCGCTCCCAGGATCGTGCGCAAGAACTATTACAAACCGTGCAAGCGGATAATGATAAATATTGGAAGTCTGCCGCAAAGTTGGCTGTATTTGATCCATCCTTAGCCGACTCCGATGAGAAGTTCCGATCGCTGCTCACGGAGGCAGATGCGATTTTCTGTACTCTTCCGACCACTACACCACTGTTCAAGGTGGACACTATTTTCCACAAGGAGCGAAAGAGGCTCCCTTATATTTCAGCTATCGGCTCCTGGACCCCTGACATGACTGAAGTCGGCCCCGATGTTTTACGCAAAGCTGTCGAGACAGAGCCTAGTTTCAACCCGACCGGTGGAAATGGTAGCGTTGTGCTCTCGGATGATGTTCATGAAGCTACTATCAAAGCTGGGGAGTTGGTGAATAGCGATCTTACTAAAGCTGAGTTGCTCGACGTAGGGCAGGTGATCGATTGGTTGCGAGGTAATGGGGATCTGGACCAGGCGCAGAGGGAACGTCTTAATAAGTGGCTAGCCGAAGGTTTCGTCGTACTCAAGGGTATTGGAATCAGCACCACTGATTTGACATCTGCCGAGGAGATTCTTCGTGTAGCTAAGGAGAGGGGCCTTGGAACTCCTATTTCTTCCTTTTAAGGGGTAGATAAAAACTAGTACGACGTTTCTCCTGATAGGGGGGGTCATTTTCTTAAACCTTGAATCCGTAAAGACGGTTGATCAGAATTATGGTTTGTATTGGCAACGGCAAACCGAGTCTTTTGACTCCGCAGCACTCAGGTAAGCACTGTGAGTTCAAGAGGACGGGGAAATGAAAAGAGGCTCTGTATATTCTAGCAGTATGTGGCATTTACAAACAGTCGATCTCAAATAAATGAAGAATCCAATTCCATGAAAATACTGTCCCAATCAAATGATTTACCGTCGATTTCAACGCCTTCTTCAAAATCATGAGTGAAATTGGTCCAGTATGATGAAATGTCTTCTCGAGTCAAATCAAGATGTTCTCCAGACCCTATGGTGGGGTTGGGGCCGTTGTTGACACTGAAAGGGTCCTCAGTAGTTTCCAGGAAACGAAAATTATCATAGACATCATACCCAGGAGGTACAGTATTGTCAAAAGTTGTTTCTTCGTAGGGAAATGTTTGAGGGTCTCGTTCACCCTTGCGACCACTGTATGCAAGAGGTTCTTGTTGTTCACCTGAAACACGATCGGAAGCTGACGTCTGGTTTTTCCGAAGAATATGTATCAGCGAGTCAACGAACTTGGCAGTGGTTTCTGAGCCTCTTTTCGCTATGTCCATAATTTTGAAAGACCTGAAGATCTCCTCTCGCTGCTCCTGGTGTTGCGGGGACAGCGGGCTGACAAACACGTCCATGAGCAGAACGGCACAAGCTAAAAAGACCCCAACCAGGAGCTCGGTCAGTTTATTCTGTATCACATTGTCGATGTCGGCATCCTCCGACCATATATCTGATCGGATGAGAAGTCGCGCATGCTTGAGACATATTTCCCGGGAAGAGTAATATGCTGAATCCTCGGAGCTGCGTATAAAATATGGCAGGTGAATCTTGCATCGTTGTGAGTAGAGCAAGAAGTAAACAACTTTGCCTTGAAATACGATGTCCGCAGCTCGAGTCTGAGTCAAACCGTACGTCTCCATCAACATATGCGGTGTCATCGAATAGAACCCTGGAACCTCGTTGATTAGAGTTTGGAGCTCAGTATCGATGTCCATGACCGCATCATGACTTAAGCCTCCTGTATGTGCCATCATGAGCGGACTTCGATCGACAATGTTACGAGATATCTCAGCTAGGCGTATCCTCTGCAATGTGTATGACATCGATGTTGGAAGCGAAAGGGGTCGTTCATGACGGCTCATTCCGTCCAAAACCTCTTCGTCGTTTATGTTGAGTGGCTTTTTCGTGATCATTTGGCGAGGATGGCACGAATAAATACCCTCGCTCACTCCACCCACCCGTGCCGCCATAGCCCTTCAAAATATGTCAGCGCTCTGTTTTTAGCAGTTTAGATAGCATGGGAATTACCAATCAGATGCACACAAATACCACCATACCCTACGTTCAATCTCTGCCTGGGATGTGTTCGCCTTTCCAGAGTTATGTGGATGGTCAATGCGATGAAGCCCCAAGTCTCGAGCTAGTACCAATGCATTGGCAAACAGGACCCGGTATCTATGTAACCCGTCGATATGGGCAACCATAAAGCCTACAAGTATCATCCCTTGGACACCTTCAATGGAGATTTTCCGTCTCTGAGAGGTGGCTTCGAGAACATCTTCAGTCATGTTGATCCAAAGGGAGACTTGTTCGTTAGCTTCTGACGGAGAATGAAATACACCATTCACGCCATCGCTTGGGGTCCAGGAATGAGTTGCTGCCGCAATAATGCTTAGGACCAGAATGACATGCCCTGGCTGTACCTCCTGTTTTAAGCTCAAATTCGCATAGACCCGTTCAAGAATAGAGGGAAGATGCGGTATATGAGTCACATGTGGAAAGTAATGAGCAACCCGAATGAACTTTTCCAGAAGGATTTTGGCCTCCTCGAGTTGGGGTAACCATATGCATCTTGATAGTCCAGAGCTAAGGCTTGAGCTCGATTCAGGCTGGTGCACGTATAGTTGTGCTTTGGTTACCTGCTGAGCCGAACAGATCCTAAGAACTATGTGATTCCTTATCACGGTCTAAACAGCAGTCAGTGGAAGGTTATACATTCCGATCTGCTGGGGAAGAAAGTGAGGGAATTCAGAGCACGACCTAGGAGCTGCCTAATATGAGGAACAAACTTACTGAATGAGTCTTTTCTGTGTACGTACTATCAAGGTGGGCAACATCACTCCCCATATCTATGTCCTGGAATTGTGAGGACGAAGTTGATTGATAATGAGACTCAGAACTTTCTGGACATTGGGCGTTTCTTCCTTGTGCATCCTCTTTCTGAGCCAGCAACAAGCTCTCAAGCCTGTGAAGGCGCTCGATAATCTCGGAATTTCCAGAAGTTTCAGGAACTACAACCGTTTGTGGGGGCGGAGGTTCCAAATCACAAGTGATGCCCCTTGAAATGCAGTTGGAGCAAGGCGCTGTTCTGCTACATCGTAGCTTTCTTGTCCTGCAAAAAGTGCAGGACACTGGTTTTTGGCGAAATTTTGGCGGCTGAGATTGGTCTTTGGGCATTCTGTATTTTCGATATATTGTTGAAAACTTTGGAAAATATGAGACGATCAAGTGTTCAGTAATCGTGCTAGTTGGAGCGACAAAACCATCGGAGTTTCCGTCAAAGTCCGCGGAACCTGATCTGGTGATGATGACATAAGCAACCACAACATCCCTGCCAGGATCTACTCGAGATTCATTGCTTCAGTCGGGGTGTCTGATGATCAATTAGACTATGTTGGACCTGTCTATGTAATGAAGTTGATACAAAATATGAATGAAACAAAGAACGACCAAATGCTTGCCCCTCCGCCTTGATAGATCGAATTTAAGCTAGAATTCTAAGATCCTTAGGCATCCTCCACATCTATTCTTACTTGAGAATAGATTGCTCAAAGAGCTTGCATTGAGCAGATGGCACCCACGAACCCACTTCAGTCAGTTACTATTGGAGCGGTTACCGAAATAAAGGTGAGAAGGTAAGAGCTCACGCAAGTTGCAAGACTTTCCTCGAAGACTAACTGCGCTACAGGCGACGTTGAGAGATGCCGCTGGTTCGGATGCTCTCCCCATACTTCCAGAAGACTAGAGGAATTGGAGCAAAAGCCACCGCAATGAAACCTAGAAGCGATGTGCCCCATCCCACCCCAAGAGCATCGTACATACTGTTTCCTGCCAAAGGAAGCAGTGCCCCCAGGAGAGAGCGGGAAACAATAGCCGCTGCGGTCGCTGAAGCGGCATAGGGGGTGTAAGCATCCACAAGATATGCTAACGACGGCATCTAGTGAAGAAGTCAGTAAGGTAAGCTCTGTGTTCAGTCAGTAAATGGCTTACTATGATGGTGAATGACGCAGCTCCTAAAAATGCAGATCCGATGATTGGAACAATCCAATGGATGTTCTTGGTAGCAGTCCAACCGTATAGAAACAAGCCGATGGGCGCAAGCGCCGCGCCTACAAACAAAAGCGGCAGTCTATACTCGGGCTTTGCCTCTCCGCCATTTGCTTTCGCCAGTTGTTTGACAAGCCGGTCTGAAAGCACCGCGCTTAGAACTAAGGCGAAAAGGAAGCCCACTCCAATCCCCAAGTATACCAGCCCAATGCCGCTCTTGGAAAACCCACAAGTCCCTTCGAAAACTCGTGGGAATGTCGTGAACATGAGATATTGATACCCGTACATTGTTGCCATGTAGAGAGAGAGTAAGGTAACGATTGGCAGCAAAATAAGCATCTTGAGAGGCCGAACGATAGATACTTGTAGAAGTTTCTTTGGGTCTTTCCCACTATCAAGAGAGGAACGCAGGGATCGGTTGCCGGTCTCTTTTTGTAAGCATTGTGTCTTGTTTTTTAAAATCGTGTAGGGGTATGACTCTTGGAGGAGTAACAGACTTCCCAGAAAAACGAGACCAGCCTAAATACTGAATGTTAGTCCGCAGACTCAAGATGGGCGCTGAGAAACTTACAAGCATTGACACCAGCCAGAAATTCCATCGCCAACCTTTAGCCTGGCCAAGATATCCGGCGACTAATCACTGTTAGCAAGTGGCATTGCAGGATGGAAGATTAGTTGGTCTTACTTAGTGGACCGAACGCAGGCCCCAGCACTGGCCCCATGATCCAGCCCATCATTGCAAGCCCTCTTTTGTGTAATGGGATCATATCGGCAATGGATCCCGCCCCAATTGTCATCGGGGCACTCCCAGCAAGCCCGGCGAGAAACCTAAATATAATAAGGGAGATGATGTTGTTGGAGAGTGCGCAAGCAACGGTCCATATGAGGAACCCGAAGTTGCAGGTGTGGTAGATAATCGTGCGGCCGTATATCTCGGATAGGGGAGCAAGCAATAGGGGCCCAAAGACGTAGCCGAGGAGGTAAACAGAGGTAATGAAGGCTTCTATTGTCGTGTTCGTTATACCAAATGTTGACATGATGTCTGAGCTCATTGGTGATGTGATGGTGGATCCAAGAGGCCTAGCCAATGTTAGCCACTACTACCCCTTTAATGAGGTGAAAATACGTACGACAGAAAAGCAAGAACTGAAATTGTACCGATGTTAGTGATTTTCTTTGCTGAAGACCAATTCATTGGGTTTTGAGGGTCTTCAGGTCCATCCCAATCGATAGTGTTGTGCGCATCTCCTTGATGTGGCTTTGGAGCCGCATGTAGAGTTTCGTTTTTATGGCTGGTATGCTTCTCAATGTCTTCTTCCGGAAATACGCAAGGCGTTATTTGAACTTCATCGTTCATCAATGTGAATTCTGCTTCACTTTCAGACTCTTTGGCGGTGCTCATCTTTTGAACTGGAAGTGTTTTGCTGGACATTAGACGCAGACAATCACTATCTTTTCAATGATATTTATAAAGAATCCCATAAAAGTATTCAAAGTGATTTTGATAACTGAAGTCAGAGGACAGTAAAGCATGAAGTGAATTAATTTGGAGGTCTATTTAAATCGTCCAGGAAATAATGTGTCGGAAACTCCGATGGATCCCGCGGGGGCGCATGGATAACACCACCAGATCGAATGATCGACATTAGTAATTTTTCTAATAATCATAAGATGAATTCGGGCTATCTTTATTACCAAGCCGAGTATTCGTGTTTGATAACAAGGTGGGACTGTCTTCGTCATCGGGGAAATTAACATATGGAACATGGTCGAGCGGCCATGGGATCATCCCGCGGAGCTTCTTCATTGATTCTCAGTTACGGATGTCCTAGGAAAATCCCACGACGGATTATGGGGGCTCATGAGTTATGGGTCGACCAAATTATCTCGCAAATATACTAGAAGCATCGCCGGAGTACAATCGTAGGTCCCACCTCATCATATTCCTCATACAGGACACACATCTTCTGGAAAGTCGATAAGGATGCAACCATGGATCCTCCTATCCACGATAAGTGCTTTCTCTCCGGCAATGCAATAACATTAACCTTGGCTGATGAAGGGGCCAGACCAGCCATTTCTGAGTGCATTCGGTCTTGAATTCCTGGGAACAACGTCGATCCCCCAGCCTTCAAATACCATGTCAGGAGTTTTCTTCACAAACAGTTTGTGGATAGGACCAATACTCACCAAAACAATGTTCCCATACAGTTTATCTCGGAGTGAGGCATCAGACTTTAATACGGCGCCGAAAGTGAGATGCTGTATCCCCATTTCACTGTTCATTCCCATACGATGAGGGTGGAACAGAGCTTCGGGGGTCATGAACCTCTCTCTCCCAACAGTAATATACTTTCCGTCCGCCAATTTGTAGCTTGTTTCTGTAGGTGCTTCCCCCTGGGCCAATTGCAGGTCTCTTCTGAAATCTTGCGCAACGTAGCAGTACTCCTCCTTGACCTTTCGGGCAAGCCTGCGCTCCGATATTGTCCCCAGATTATTACCGCCCCGCGAAAGACCTTCTATTAAATGGTCCGTCAAATGTCGCCCACCAATATCCAGTCGTTGAATGCCGTGGCGTAGGGCAAACCCTTGATAGACGGGAACGGCATAAGTCGAGGCCGCGCCGGAATCAAGCACCACCCCTGTGCTGCTTCCGGATGGGTGTATAGCCAGCACACCTTGCATAGAAAGGTAGAGAGCAGGGACATGGAACTGCTCAAACAGCGACGTTACCGTTTTTTCCCTGTTCTCTTTCGAGTTTGCATTTGGCTCAGCGAGGAGAAGAGGATGGTCTTCTGGTTTGACTTTGAGCTTCTTTTCGTAGAGATAGTCCCAAATTGACTCTATATCAATGAAATTGGTGATGATACCGTTATCAACTGGGTATCTCTGGTCAAATAAGGGGCGATGCACCTCCGCCTCCTCACCATAATACCGATCTACCAGGGGACCTGGAAGTAGACAAATGCTTTTAATCAACAAGAGCAGTTAGTATGAAGTAGTCTTGTAGCTGATGTTTGAAGCTGAAAGCGGACGTGATCTCCACCTTCTGGGGTGGAAATGGAGATGGGAAATTACGTAGTTGGGCGCCGGCGAGATATCAGTGTTGCTGTCAGATAATAAGCCTGCTGAAACTCTCCTTACAGTCCAAGAGAAACAGAAGATGGGTCGGTTCCGTCATGCTGTGAGTGTCTGGAGCTAACTTACGGCAAACAGCTGATGGCCTCGTTTCACTCGCGAATCCTCCTTTAATGGTATCCGTCCTGCCGTTTTCACAATTCACCATCAGCAAGGAAAACGTCACCTTAAAGATTTTTCTTAATCGCTCGCAAACAGAGGAACTGAGAAGCCTCAAAGCGTACTGCAGAAACATACCCAGTGTCGATCACAATAGCACTGGTGTTGCCTAAAACAATCCAAATCACGTCCATTATTAGCTCAGTTCTCTGCACTGAAATCCGGGGTGACTACCTACCTTCCATGTTGATCGCGGGATTCGTAGCCAAACCGTAAACTCATCTAATGAGAAAACCACGGCATACATCAAGATGATGGAGGTTGGGTAAGCTTGCCCACGACACTCGACACGAATCCAGGACTAGGCAGCCATTTATTTATTGTAAGACAGCCATCAGCAAGGCTGAATGCGGGGGATCGTATTTCGTCTTTGTAGTGCGTTGCCGAGCTGAGTCAGTCATGTGGCTGCTTCATGCTAGCTCTGTTCAATATGCCTAAGTTTTACCAGCATAGACCAGATAAAGAAGGAAAAGTTTATATAATTATACCAATAATAATAATAACTCAATTAAAAACACAAAAGGGAAATTTTAAAGAAAGTGTTTTGCAGTCGAGTGAGTTGTACCTTAACTCCTCTTACATACGAAACTTGCCTGACTAGGCATCAAACTATCTAATTAAACTCCAACCAAGCTGCGCTATTAATCTATATGTTATTGCAGTTATGGGCCAGTCCATCTGGCTTCGACTAAATCCAAATCTATTAATTTATATCGGCGGCCCAAGAAATCAGGCCCAAGTAGGCAGAAAAGCCAGCGGAGAGTATTCGATGAGAGAAAATCATCATTCCTTCGTGAAATTTTGCCATCCGGAATGAGTCTCTAGACTTCCTCACGCTTGGCTGGTTTCTTCTCAAGTTTCCGCAAGTCTATCCAGCCCATGCCGAAGGAAACAGCGAAAGCTGCAACGCAAAAGCCCGCCCAGAGATAGAATACGTTTCCGAAACTCTCAGAGTAAGACCGCAGTATGCCGTCCATGGTTGCGCTGCCTGCAGGGGCCAGCTTCTTAACGGCCTCGGCGCTACCTCCAGCGGCAATGACAGCTTGCACACCAACAGAAGGGGCTGCGATGGGAATCTTGGATTTGAGGCTTTCTTGGAAGATAGTGTTGGCGACGGTAATGAGGATGGCGCTACACATATTCTGGCAGAATACGAGGAAGGAACTGCCCACGGCGACCTGGGCGGGAGGCAGAGCGTTCTGGAGTGCCACAGTACCCTGTAATCAATGTCAGCGAGGAACAGCATGGGGATGGGTTCAGTCGGCGGGATGGCGCTTACAACTTGAATTCCTGCGCCCCGGAATCCGTAAAGAACTTGAAAGCCGATCAAATGAGCAAGGGTGGTGCTGGGCGCCCATGTCGCGATGAGGCCACATCCAATGGCTGTGCCACCGGCTGCGAACAGGGCCCATGGAATGTAATATCCGAGTTTTGTCACTGTGCAAAAGTTAGCAAATGAGAAATAGGATGCCCCAGAGGTGCGAAGGAACCAGAAATTCATACTCAGAGCTCCCGAGAAGAGGAGGAAAATAAGCTGGGAAATGATTCCTGGTAACATGTAGACAGCACTCGTCGTTGGCGACAGCCCTTTCACAGACTGGAAATAGATGGGCAGGAAGTTACTGGCTCCCACTGTAACACTCATGAGAAAGGCGAAGTTCAGCGAGCTTGTCCAGACTACTGTCTGGGACACCAGTTTCAGCGGAATCATAGCCTCATCGCCTACCCTCCATTCCCAAGCGATGAACAACAGAGCCACGGCGCCTGCTCCACAGAAAAGTCCAATGACTTTGGGTGAGCTCCAACCGTACTCTCCGGAGCCGAACTGGAGGGCAAGAAGGAGCATAACGGATGCTGGAGTAAAGAGCGCAAATCCGGTCAAGTCAAATTTAGGTATGATCTTACGGATAAGACCAAAGCTCACGCGCTCTTTTTCTATCTGGTCGGGGATGGCGATGACGGCGATGAAGAGCCCAACAAGACCTCCCAGGGGAAGGTTGACATAGAAGCCTGCCTCGAAGTTAGAAATCATAGTCCCAAGTTCCAGTCCTCAAGCATGTTATGGGGAACGAGTTTACTCACACCAGCGCCAGCTAGCATGCTCAGTAAATAGACCGCCAATGACGGGTCCGAGAACAATGCCAATTTGGCCAACTACAGTTTGTCAGCCTCCCTTTCTTCACTCTCTGGAGTTAAGACACCTGTCACTTACTTCCCATAGCAACAGCCGTGTAGACTTGAAGGCGACACATAACATGTTAGCTCATAGTCTTTATACAAAACATGTTTGGCACACATACGAGGACGCTGGCGCGGAGCTACGGCCCCAACGATGACTGTCAATAGACCATTGGTGAGGCCAGAACATCCTAGGCCAGCAATTGCACGGCCGATAATCAGCATGGTCGAGGAGTTTGCGGCTCCGCAGACGGCAGAGCCAATCTCAAAGAGGAAGAAAAAGGCAAGCAATGTCCACTAGAAGTGAAGTGTTAGCTCCCGATGTAACGAAGGACGACTCGTGGGCGTTTCGAGGCAGGCTATACTTGCCTTGGTGCTGAAGTAGGTATAGAACTTTCCGGTGAGAGGCTGTACAGTAGCGCTGGCAAGTTGATATGCACTGACATACCAGCCTACATCCTGGAGCCGTTCAAAGTCGCTGGTGATTTGGGGGATTGCCTGGACAGCATAGAGTTAGAAAAAAGCAAATTTTGTGTTGCGCCAACGGGGAAGGTTGTTGACTTACGGTTCCCAGAATCGAAATGTCCAGCATGACCAAAAACATCAGGACGGTCAAGCCCGACATGACAATGAAGAGCTTGATCCCCTCAAGATAGTTGGTCTCATGTTCGGGGGTCTCTGTTTCTTCCTCTTTGGGTGTCTTCTCCTCCGATATCGACTCTTGGGCTGTGCTGCCATTCATATCCTCCAGATCCGAAACCTGCAGCTTCTTGTCGGCCAGCAAGAACGCGGCTTTGCTTGGCGCCGCCATTGTTGACGTTGTGGTTCGCTCCCTCTCGATCAAGTTGTGAAGTTCTGCAGTTGTGTGTATCGGCGCTGCTGCTGGATAGGAAAGCAATATGTCGAGGGCAGATCTATTCTTTAAGATCTGAGATCTAAAATACTTATTGAGTAGTTTTTTAGTTTTTTTTTCCTCCCATGCATAGAAGGGGGGAATGCTCAATTTGACTCAATATGAAATGCCTAAGCGGACTTGTTCAGTGGTGCGCTCCAGCGGACTTCCAGCGGAGAGTGGCCGCCGGACGTGCGAATCCCGGAACCAAACCCGGCCAATACGCCCCGTATCTCGAATTCCAGGCAGCGGCAGCGACCCGGAAGGTCCCTAAACAGCATAGCCCAGCAATAGTCGTAGCACTACGCATTAGTGATTGGTCACGCTGAGTCGAGATGGTCTAATTTCGACAATCCCGATCTCGCCAATCCCGCCGCCGGCACGTTGATCCCGGCCTCGTCAGCGCAATGAAACCCAACATGGAACAACATGGAATTGAAGGTCAGCAACCGCATGACAACAGCAGCACACAACCATGATCGACAGAGTAGAAGTGAATTGCAGACGCCCGCACTAGGTCGTTGCCTGCTGCCTGCGAAGAACAACCGGCGGCATTCCGTTCTCTAATGTCGCGACGGCGCCTTAGATTTCTCACTCAGCAACGATCTTCTTAAAACCGAATATGCTATTCCCGTACACGTACAGCGGAATTCAATCAAGGCTCCACAATGGATAAATTAATTTGACCATGGATCCCGAATGTTTGGGATAAACGATTATGTAGCAGAATCATGACCTACCCTACACTTTAAGGGGCTTACCGGCTTATTATCCCATCACTCTAGGCTTCCAAATAAAATCTGGAAGTTTCATGCTTTCTCATTGCCTACGGTATTCTCACAGCCAACCAGATGATTGTCTGTTTGTAGAGTTGTTTCTGTCGTGTCGGGACGAAGCATCTCTGCTGTGGCCACTGCAAGCTACGCGTACCTGACAGGGGCGGGGCTAGGTCAAGATGAACGAGAAACACTGAATGAGAAGAGGTATATGATGGTGCTACCCGTATTGAACTATCCAGGACATGGCTTTCAAGTGGGACGGAACAGGCTTATGTTTCTTGAAGAGGCTACCTTTTGTAGACTGCTTATTGTTAACACTTCTCACCACATTAGTTACTCGCCAGCCCATATGCCATCAACACATTTTGTATGTTCCCCTATAGGGTATAATTTAGAACCGAGTTGATTAGTCCCGGCAAGTACTAGAAGGCAAAGCAGCTGCCAGCTATGAATGACGGTGATAGGCTCCTTACCTGATAGCGTTTGTCGTGGATGTTGTAGATGATTTATGATGACTAGAGATGACACGAAGGTTGAGAGAAACTACGACGTACGATTCGAACTACTCTTGCGCGCCAATGCCATGTTTCATCAGGCACTGTGCCTACAACCCGGCGTTTCTGCTGTCTTATAAGATAGAAGCAAATTGAATAGTTTTTTTTATCTCAGATCAGAATTCCGTCGATGATAAAAAACTCAAGGTTTAGTAGAGTAATCAAGGGTCTCTAGACCCAACGCCCCTGCTACTTATACTGAACTCTCAAACCACCGACCTAAGAGAAAGAGAATAAAGTTCAACAGCAATGGAAGCTGCCAGAGCCCGACAACTCAACACAATCTCAAACCACCGACGATTTTCATTTTCCTCAATCGGATGCATGCAGCATAAGGGAACTAGGGGTGGGGGGAGTAAATCTTAGGTTCCTTACGGTGCACGGCTACAAGCCCCGTTGCCAGTTGCGGTATTCATCCACGTGGAGTTTAGATACAGGTGTGTGGGTGGCTGAACCACTGCGTCTACCCCTACATTCATCCTCATTTCCAAAAAGTTCGGACGAATATCTAAGGAAGGAAACATCATTCTTGAATAGGCCTTTTGAGCCGAATACTGAAATAGGACACCTCCGCGAGGCCGACAAGGCAGTTTGCGGTCGAAATGTGGGGGCTGAAGACTATGGAAGCTACTAAGAGGCCGGTTCACGGCATCAACATCGGACCTGTAGCTGAGGTGGATGTTTATAAGGTCCTGGGCTCGACCAATGCCCAGCGTTGGTTGTGCAAGATGGCAGTCGGCCGCCCGATCGAAAAGCTTGGCGACCAAGGTTAGCGGGACACTTCCAGTTCTACCATGTGGAAATGAGCCTGGCCAGATCCCTGCGTGACACACTCGGCATGATGTGTTTTGAGCACAGCTGCCGACAGTGTGTGGAGTAGTAAGGCTGTGGCTGCCCGCAGAGGGAAAAGCGTTGCGATGTGCCGGTCAGCAAGGTGTGGCGGCCGCTGGGATGAGGGTAGGGCGTATATTAATAGCCGGTACTTGGAAGATTCGAGCGGAGACTTTTAATCACCGGGAAAGCTTCAATCTGTTTCCGTCCCGCCTTTGATATCTTAAGGCTATTTAGGTAACTCGTCGAGACGTGCCGCGTGAGTGCGCTAGCCGCAAAGGCGGTCCTCGCACTCGGAACCAACCATCTTCGAGGAAAGCCGGGCTCATAGGGCTGGCCACTAGTATTAAAGTAGTGTCGGCGTGCACCCTAGAGAAGAAATTCAAAGGAAGAACTTTATCTTGTCTGCCTAGGGTCGCGCAAGTGGCGCCTTGCCGTTGGCTGGGTTCCGAGGATGACCGCATATCGATACGCCAATAGTGAAAATCACCTGTTTCCGATTCTGATTGAATGCAATGCAAACCAAAATCACCGAGTGAATTGTTTCTTATATCCGACAAACCAATTTTCGGGCCACTTCACTGAGGCATTAGAGCTAGATGGACAGTGGGGATGGACAGCAAGCAAGTAAAAAGATCCCATGTGTGCCCAACTTACCTGTATTAGGTAAAGCATACATGGATTGGGCATGAATACACGGCCTCATTGGAGACCCAGTTCTTAACGCTTTGGTGGTCAGTGAAGAAGTTGGGTTGCCAAGAATCCAAACATCGTCAGATAAGCCACCGGCGATATCCCAATGCAGACTCTTGCCTGGAGTGAGATTGTAGAGTAAGGCGATGAAGACAGTATGTGAATCATTATGGGACAGCTAGGCCATCTGGAAGTTGCTCCTGCATATAGAGCTTACCAAAATCACCAAGACGGTAGCTTTGAAAAGACCAACGCAACCTCGCTCACTTGGTATTGGCCATTGGTATGATCGACACCAGGGGCTATACCACAAGCCGACTCTGAGAATCTCCTGTATCAAAGAAACGACTGTCACGATAGACGCGAGCGTGGGTTTAAGGGATGACATTCACGTCCAGACACTACCATCGGAGCGTGCCGCACCCTGGTTAGTTTTGTGTGGCATCTTTCCTAGAGGAGTAAAAGTTTACCGAGTTTTTGTGGACCATGGCCAAATAGGGTTTAACTCCCACGGCCTTGCTTCGACGTATGGCCATCTCCCGTCAAGCTGGTTTACTGATTGGCCTTGACAAGGGTGAGATTGGTTCAGGGGAGGCAGAGTTAGAGGGGCGTCTGAGGGTCTATTCGATTATTACCCCATATCGACCCCCTCATGCTCTACCTACATACGTACGTGCCTGCTTTGAGCTCGACAAAGTACTCAGCCGCCAAGTCCGGTTGGCCAAGGGTGTCGGAGGTCCCAGCTTCCCCCCGCTACCGCTTTCAGCTTTGACTGCCTTGCCTTACCAACTACCTGGATTATTACCACTGGGGTGTCTCGATGTTCCTCTCCTCCTCAAAATGATTCCTCTCACCTATCGAGCCGGCCTGCCGATCTCCCCGATTTAGGCAAGCTAGCCCTATGAGGTACCCTTCCCGGGCTGGGCCCTAGTATGGGGCCATCGCCTTGCTTCTCCCCTGACCTCATAAAAAAAGACCAGCACTGCCAGCCACTCTTTTCCCTCTCGATTTCTTCAAGTGCCTATATCAATCTCTTTCTCTGCGCAACTGAAGTTCCTGCAATCGTTGAGCCTTTGTCAGTCATTACCACCATTCTCCTTTTCCCGTCCAGTTTTGCCTAAGTCACAGGTGACGAAAAAGGTGAACCAAACTGTTCCGGGTAAATCCTCATCCTCTTTCGCCTCGTTCTTCTGAGTTCCAGCGAAAAAGACAATGGTCAATTTGGGGCCCTCCAAAGGCTGCCGTACTTGCAAGGAGCGCCGGGTCAAGTGTGATGAGGGCAAGCCGGCTTGCCAGCGTTGCCTGCGTCTCGGTCGAGAGTGCGGTGGCTACCAGAAGAAGGTAGCACCCCTCAAGTTCAAAGAGCAAAAGATCAACTATGGCCCCATTCCATTACAGCGTCGAGGGTCTCCTAGTTCCAGTTCAACCTCGAGTTCCACTCCTTCAAAACAGCGGCAGCCACGGCAGCAAAGTCGACAACCAAACCTGACCATTTCGCACTCAAGAAGCGGGTGTAGAACGCCCATGTCATCGTCTCCATCACCTGTTCCGTCTGACGAGGACATGGCCGTGTCATTCTTCCTTCGCCATTTTTGTGTCTCCAACCCAAGAAATCTCTATATTGGAGGCTTCTGTGATATGTTACCTTCGGTTTTGGCATTGGAACGGCGGGATTCGCCGTTATATGCTGCTGTTGTCTCCGTTTCTTCCTGGGTGCTAACCTTTTGGAAGAACGGTCTCTCAAATAGAAAGCCCCACGAATGGCACGTACGAGCCATCGAATGGCTTCGAACTGCTATACGCGACCCTCAAGAGAGCCAAAGACAGTCTACTATATTGGCTGCCTTCGTTCTCCAACTATACGACAACTTGTCGGCCCTCGGAGGGCTCCGCGAAGCTCCCCGCCTACATTACGATGGTGCAGTGGCTCTTTTAAAGCGTCAACCTTCCGAGGTGCTATCTTCGCCATGCTGGAACCGCATGATAAGCCATGTCCTTCATGTGGAGGTAGTCTCGGCTATCCAGGAAAAGCGACATTTCCCCTTGTCCGAATTTTCCTGGATACAACTGGGCCTCTTGCCCCTCAACTCAAATATAGGGCTTGATATAATTGGTATTACGATTGCCGACTTGCAGTCGAGATTTCTGGCTCTAATGGGACATAACGATGTTTCTCCAATTGCCGAGCACGATCTTGACAATCTTCTGCTGGATATGGAAGATGCCGAGGCCCAGCTTCTAGACTGGCAAAACAACGTTCTAGACCACTGGCATCCATCTTATTCACAACAGGTCAAGCTCGCTGAACCACCCATAATGTCGTATGGGGGTGACTGCGACATATACGCCTCTCTTCAAATAGCTGCCACTTGGAACGAGTGGCGCAATTACCGCATTCTCCTCTTCAAAATGACCATCGCAATCCTCGACCGAGTACCCCCTACGGCTTTCTCCTACTTTGACGTCAACAAACGAGCTAAGATGGAAGCCTACGCCCGTTCGAGCATACAAGATATGGTAGACTCTCTCTGTCGTAGTATACCCTTCCATTTGGGTAACCGACTCTTCAGTGGGTGCTTGGACGATTTGAATGATCCCTGCATCGTCGTTCCCAGCTACTATGATCTCGAATTCTGCTCTGACAACCTGTTTGAGGCGACATCTGAAGAAAATCTAGCCATTTCAGAAGCCTACCGCCGCCATGTCATTGGACTCGGGCCATGGCACATATCTGTACCGTTATCCAACCTGATAAGAATGATCTCAGAGCCATTTGGGTCGTTTATTGCGAGATCCCTTAGACCTGGACAGCTTGATTTCGTTCGTGGAGAGCTCATCAGAACCTCAATGATTCTACAAATCGAGGCGCCCGAATTGGAGAATGCTAAGAAGTGGGCAAGGGGCATGCCGGTCGAGCATTTTCATACTGACCCTCTCGACTTGGATGCCGTGGTGGCCAAGATGAGTAATTGCCTCTGCCTTTCAAGCGGGCTTTGAGGGATGACTGGTATACATTTTTACTGTTCTTCTTTACGCTGTCATTCTCTTTTGTTTAATATAGAATGCATGGAACACGGAAAGCAAGCGAATATTGGATTTATAATAGACAAGTGGTCTCTGGACCGAGCATTTTGGCTCTAAAAGAAATGTTTTCAGCAGTTCATTTTCATTGACCACTTTGGAAAGTTTGTGGCTAGTAGTGTAACACATGCCAGCTTCATCCATGATCTTGTCACTTCAAGATGCCAACCTCCAAGGCATTCTTGTCGGAGCTCAAGGCTAAAGATACGTACTGAAGGTCCCTAAAATAACCGCCCTAGTCCTAACGACGCATCATCCCCGATGAAAATGGAAAAAGGCACCTTGATGGCAAACGACCTAAGCTCAAATGGCCTGCGGTGTGGGAGAACCCAGTAGATGGGTGTGTAGGGGGAATCTCATGCCATGGGTCAAGGGCCCTCGGGGATATGACCCTTCTCCATGTGTATTTCGGATATACTAAAACTAATATTCCCCTTCCGATCCCCATGTTTCACGTGTTTGCGGATAAGGCAACAATGTATTCATGGTAACGTAACGTCACAACGGGATATTGAGGTGTGGCTTTGCATGATGACAATGAACTAACAAACGTTCGAACTTTAGAAGGCTTTGGAATTAACCCTCTATGTTGGATACATCAAGACTCGGGCTAAAGGGCTGTAAATGCCGACGGAATTTGAAGGTCAAAACCCCGAGGGAAATTGCCGAGACCTGTATTGTCAATTGAAATAAGGCAATGCTAACATTATACTAACTATGATCTTCGATTCACTAAGATTTGCCCTCTACCATCGCATAGGTAATTTGATGAAAAACAAAAGTTTATCAAAAATATGATCATTCTCGAGATTGACAAATTAATTTCAATCTTCAACATAAAGATTGCTCACCCACCGGCCTAATGAAACTCACATGCAGGTGTCGGCCGCCCTTTTTGATCGCGTCAGCGAGGAGGGAAGTTTAACAAGTCTCAAGCTTTCAGGCTGCTCTTTCTATTTCCCTTGATCACCATTTTTTTATGGGTCAGAGGCTTCTCTATATCATCTTAGCTCTGAGTTCAACTGAGAATGACCCGAATTGAGAATAAGTAGAGTGTCTTCAAGAACTACAGAGCGGCAAACATCAGGCCCGCCGTGACTGCACGATCCACGTTTCAGTGGAGAGACCCTTGACCACAACTGCAAGCCACAGAAGTTCTCTTGCACTGCGTATTGAGATGGGTCACTAGGCTAGTAGTGATCAGTTCCTCCGGCCAGGAAATCTCTCGGCGGTCCTCGGCTTCTATCCAGTCCCCATTCTTGATGACAGCTAGTCCCCCAGGGCTTTCCCACTTCCACCACCACCCGTTTACTATCAGTACATATCAAGCCACGCATAATGCTTACTACTTTCGATTCGGCGGTGATAGGCGTTCTCACCCACCTGATATCTGCACCTACCACCTGCATCCATTTCGGGTGTGGGCGTGAGACGAACATACGAGATGCCTAAAAGCGTAGCAAGCCCGGCCGGCTGCACGGAAAATAAACCTCTCTCTTCCACCGCTGCCCCAAGGCAATCGGCCGCCTCGGCCAACTTTGTTCCTACGCCACCCACGCGGCTTCTGCCCAACACGATCCATGCTTTTAAACGCGCGAAGAGACTCTGCGTAGGCGCGCTATCAGGCGAGACTTGGGATATTTTGACAGCTACAAATCTCCAGGGCTCACCCCTGAGCTGAGGGGTCTTGCGCCAGGGGAGAGTTGCCAGGGCCGTCGGATATGGTGGGCTGTCCGATGCCCCAGTAGGTACTCCGTGTTGGTTCTTTTGTTGGCGATTCCTCGCCGACAGTGGCACACTTTTGGCCGATGACTGTTTCGTACTTTCACTTGCATGACTAAACTATGTAGTGAGAACAATAGACGCGTGGCTTAGAGAGCGTCGTAAATCCTGCTGGACCTGACCCAGGGGTAGTCTGGATGTTAGACAACTGGGCAAATCAAACTTTGGTCATGCAACTATACAACTCCCATGGATGACGTTTAGCTAGGAGAAGCATTATGAGTTCTCCCACTGCCTGCGAGTGCATCAAGTCTTTGAAGCCCTTCGTCTACCATGGTGGTCATCACCCCACGATTGAGTTAGCTATTCGAGTGGCTGGAGCTCTTGACATCTGAGATGTTCTGGGTCCTTTCCCAGCAGTCTTTTACCCTCGGCTGTGAGATATATATAGAGATTGATGTTGTGCTGATCTTGGTTACCATGCCTGAAGAAAACAAAACAGTTTATAGTATTGTGATCTCGTGAAATGACAGCAGTTCCAATGTTTTTCTCTTTTTGGCTTTGATATCTTTCGCTCATTAGTTCTCTTTAAGCTAAAGGTGAGCTTAAATGTTGAATTCTAGAGACCATCTTGGCTCCGCCTTACACACGCGTATGGGAACTCAGAACTGGCAGATCTCCATATGGTATTACACATTAAAAGGCCTGAGGAAACATCCCAAACATAATCGGGATGTAAAAGTTGGAATCGTGCAGTTGGAGGCAAATTACTCATCGAGAAAGCTTTTGGGAGGCGATATGTTGCAAATAGTCTCAAAGTTATGAATCTCTACTTAGGAGTCAATAGCAATGACAGTTATCTGAGACTTCTGGCCATACAGATCGGCCTGTAGGAACCACATGAAGTCATCGTGAATTGGCGTGAATTAGTGTGAAGTATGTCAAGAGCTTGTTTCAGTCGGGGTGGCTTGGGGGCGGTTCTGGCTAGCTTGCTAAGTACAAACTAGACGAGAAACATCAAAAATTCATAATCGCGTATATTCTTCAAAATGCCGAGGCTTGAGCTTCTAGTGTTGAAGTTGAGATGCGCGCTGAGTTAACGATTGTACCTCGATATTCACGATCGTGTTTCAGAATCCCACGCGGTCATCTGGTGCGCTTGACTGCCTAATTTGGACGTGATGTAAGCGGTGAGCTTTCTTCTTTGCATGCAAATCCTTTGGCTCCTTCTTTTTAACTACGTTTCACTCGACTACAAACTAGTTCTCCAAAACAAAGCTCTCCTATCACCAATATGACGACATTGCTAGATCTTCCTAACGAGGTGCTCTCTCGGATCGCCGAACGCCTAAGCGATGCGGATCACAAAGCGCTATTCAGCCTGATTTATGTAAACAAACGCCTGAATATCATCACTACCCCCTTTCTGGTCCGGCGCTGGCCTCCAGTGGAGAGAGATGCCCTCGAGCATAGCCCCGGATATGATCGTTTCGTGTTGCACCTGTTACGCAACCCGACTCTTCGACGATACATCAGTCTCCTAGACGCGGGCGACTTTTCTACGCGTGAAGATAGAGATGATGTGGAAACAGCCGTCAGTCGTGATGAGCTGGAAGAGATTGCGACTGCGGGCCTCCGAGACTGGCCCGCGCTTGCGGAGCTCTCGGAATGGAGGGAGCAAATATCGGAGGGTATTCAAGATGCTTTCGTGGTGTTGATCCTCTTGTGGGCGAGGGATTTGGTGGAGTTCGATTTCACTGTGCCTCTTATCGGGTTAATACGTCTAGATGGCGAAGAACAGTTGACCTTGGGTTTCGTCAGCCAAGTTGCCCGAATGTTCAGCGGCAGCTCTGAGGGCGCTATTCTGGATCACCTCCCCCTCGCGAAATTGCAGTCCGTCCAATACAAACATGGGGACACGGAATTTGGTGTGCAGGGCAAATATGCGGCGCCATTCTTTTATCTCCCTAATCTGCGGACCTTTTTCGGGTTCAGGATTGAGATGGCTCCTTCACACATAGAAGAAAGCTTTGAAGATGGTGACGGTGACCAAAGCACATATCTCACTGAGTTTCCCGTTGGGACATCGACTGTCGAGGAGATCATTCTCAATACCTCTGATGTGTGTCTGGAGGGGCTGACAACTCTCGTTCGGGCGTGTCGCAGGCTGAGGACCTTTGCCCTACACTATGGGCCGGTTTTAGATACCAGGGAAGTTGATTCCAGTCGACTGGCCGAGCTTCTTTTGGCCCGGGCGGATTCTCTTCAGAATCTTGCGCTTGACTGGGGCGAATCCCCAACCTTGGAAATTACGGCTCAGGGTCCGCTGAAGATCGAGCAATGCTTCCATCAACTCCACCGTCTCGAGTATCTCGAACTTGCATTGTACATGCTGTGCGAAGAAAGCGAGATCGATGGGCAGGCTTTCATCTCACTTAACTCGCAGCTACTCCCAAAATCACTAAGGTGCTTGTGCTTAGTGGGAAATGCGGACTGGCGTTTGAAGAATGAAGTAGCTTTGACCAAACTGGTAGATAGTATCGAGGCATTTATGCTCAAATGTGGTCCAGGGGGTGAATTTCCGCACATGGAGGCGTTGGAGCTGATCTATCTCACATATCGCCCCCCGACGTATAACTACACGCAGCGCCTAGAGGAAACGGGTCGCAGAAAGAATTTGAGAGTGATATTCAACAAATATCAATGGCGGACGTGGCCTGGATATGGTTGAGCAAGTTAGTTATTCATATGGGAACCCACTGGGTCAGACCGAGGAATATATCAATCCTTGGAGGCTTAAAGTTGATCTTTAGCATGAGAAATTATCAACAGACGGTCAACAATGTATTTTTTTACGCATAAGAGACATTGGCCAAGGGGTAACTTGAAATTAATTTGTTGCAGTTGGTCTGTTAGTTCGAGGAGCTCCCCTAGATCTTCGAACCCGACTTTTCATTCCTAGGCACCCTCATAAAGCACTGCTGCGTCATGGATGCTATCAATGTGCCCTGCTCGTCAAATAATCGTCCCTCTGCATATGTTCGTCCACTCCCACTATGATGAACAATTCGCTCTCTCAGATTCCAGTTGCCCATATTCACCTGCGGCACGAAGATTCTCAGCGCAAAGTCAAGAGATCCGCATGGACCCGCAGCATCTACCCAAAGATGGTTATGTGTCAGTGCTAGGAAAGCCAGAGTCCCGTCCATGATGAATGCCAAGGCTGCTGTATTCTCGGCCTGCGTAGAAAATGTTCCACGTGCTCGTAACCACTCAGCTGAGACCCTGGAGGTAACAGGAATGTTGTCCTGGGTGGTTGGTAGCCCTCCAGCGATACCGGTGAGGTTTTGAGCCGCCATGCCTCCAGTGCAAATCCTCGTCTCAAAGTAGTCTCTGTCTTCATCGAAGGACTTTCGGAACTCTTCCAACTGCGCCTCGTTGACCTCTCCTCTATCCAGCATTCCTTGCGCATACTCATGACGGTCTGGGCAATCCCGTGGCTTGGGCCATGCCATAGTTGGTCGTGCAGAGAACTCGAGCATGGATGGCTCACAAACGTGAAAATCGGCAATGAGTTCCAAGCAAGTTCGAAAAGTTCCATCGGTCTGCTCCTGGCTCACCTCTACCCGGCGAGTGGCGAACGTTCTTGTCGTCCTTGTATCATGGACTCTGCAGTACAGCTTTTGCTCTTTTAGTGCTGGGCCGAGGAAGTGGCCGAGGATAGAATACGCTGAGAAGCCAGGAGGGACAGTCTGGTTTGCAGCGTTGAAAGCAACCCCGATTGTATTGCCTCCGTATGTTGCTCGTAGATTCCCAAACTGAACAGGTGTAAATTTGGACACGAACCTGCCGTCCTGCAAGCGCTCAACACTGATTTGCTCTGTGATGGGCATAATGACGGCGACAGCTCTGAGACGCTGGTTTCAATATTTTTCTTCTAAAAGGAAACGGCCTGTTTTGTTTACGGCGAAAGATCAAGAGCTAAATTGCGTACCTCTGTGAACATAATAACAATGCTTTTGGCCAAACGTACGATCAACACAGGAGCCGAGGCAAGAAGTGGGGGAGAACCGTGGGCACATTGACGAGGGGCCAGGCCCCCTGATTCGCCCTACTTACACAACCGGGATCAAAACTCGCTGCCCATCAGCCTTGGCCTTGGCAGGGGCAAGTATGGATTTGAATCAAAACTCTGCTAACTCATGGTATGTTAAAATTAAATGAAAAGCTTTTTGGCGTACCTTCGTCCCTGTTCTTCAAAGGAGTGCCCAGGGGCGGGAGTCAATACCTAGTGCACGCTGTTCAAAGTGATAACGTTAGTTTTCTCTATTTTTTAAAGGCACCATTCCACGCGCTCGATTGATTCGAAATCCTTCTAAAACTCGATTCGCTTGAACATCAAATCCAGGCAACTCCACGAGACCATTACCAGGCACATAAACGAATACTACTCCAAGTACAAACCTACTACTAATCATCTTTATGTAGAAATGGGGGATAACGCGCATCCGTAATATTGTAGTAAGAACTTCAGAATAACAATTAATTTTCATTGGCGCACGTTCACAAGATGCAAGAACTCTTCGCTTAACCTAGCCTCACGCTGGAAGCAACCTCTCATACAGCGAGTTAAGGTTGTGCTGCCAGTCTTCTCAACACCTCGGATAACCATACACATATGACTGGATTCCATAACCACAGCGACACCCTGAGGTTTCAAAATCTCCATAATGGCTTGAGCAACTTCTTCGGTAAGGCGCTCTTGAATCTGTAGGCGGCGAGAGAATATTTCAGCGATTCGTGAGATTTTAGACAACCCGATGACCATTTTGGAGGGGATATATCCAATATGCATCTAGGGATATAATCTTAGTAGTGGCTCTTTATGCTGATATTGAATGATATATTGAGAAGACAGAGGGAGATTACCTTTCCAATAAAGGGAACGAGGTGGTGTTCGCAAAGACTGGAGATATCAACGTTTTTGACGATAATCATTTGGTCATGACCTCCATGGAAGAGTGCGCCATTGACAACCTCGTTCACATTTAATCGATAGCCCTTGGTCAAAAACAAGAGAGCCTTGGCATATCGTGAAGGTGTGTCCTTCAAGCCCTCGCGCTCGGTATCCTCACCTATGCACTCTAACAGAGTTCGGACAGCACTTTCCATTTTGGCAAGACGCACGGCGACTTCTTCTCTTTGAGATCCTTTGGTATTCGCAGCTAGATGTGCAACAGTCAGTCACATGAATAAATACCATCTAGGCCACAAAGATGGCAGTTGTCTCATACAGCCTGTGCCATCAATACTTGGTATAGGGCTGCGTGATCTGGCACGCGTGCGTAGTCGAGCACGCTGCTTGGAGCGGGCTTTGGTCCAAACATTTTTTATGACCCGATTTCCGAATCTTTTGTAGCACTTGCGCTTCATAGGCAGTGATTTGTCGTTGGGCATGTGGGAAGTGCCAAGGTCATTGTAGGATTTCTTCCTAGGAGATATTTTACGGCTCTTTATAATGGCCATTGGTGTCCAATAGATCGATTCACGCCTCTATATAGGAATGTAAAATATAACGAATAGAAGGTTCAAGTTCACAAAATCCAACGGCGACTTTGGTCTACTTATTAATTTGGTATTATTACAAGAAGCGTTCTATTTTAAGCTTGGAACTATAGAAGAAGGCAAGTAAACTGAGCATAATATCAGCGACTGAAACGGCGAGAGGCGTAGGTCTACCTCCTAGGTCTTCTTCCAAGCTCGGCGAAGCGCATGCCTCGGGAATATTGTTACATCTGCAGGAGGCCTTCAATAAGTTAAGTCAAACACCAATGAGATCCTTGAATAGAATGTCATTCATGCCTGCGAGACTCTGGTGTAGTGCAAAGTTGTTGCCTAATACTCGGTTCCACGACTTCGAGATGGTCCCGATGTGACCCAAAAGTTCTCGGGTAATATGATTTGGTTGTTGAATCCACATGCTGTTATCCTATTCGAAGAGAGTTGCATTGTTGTGTTACACATATGTGCTTATTCGGATACACTTTCTTGGGGGGATGACATTCATGTTTCGTTTCCGGTCTCGGTGAGATAATAAGCATTAAAAGGTGCGCATCAGGCTATGCAGGAGGCCAACCTCATCGGCCTGATCCAGTAAGCAGACACTCACCGGCTGTCGATAGATTGCGTACCTCCTACGTGGCCTTGATTAATTGGACAATGCTTAGCATTCTTTCCTTGGATTGATCATAACCGCATATTGAACCAGAGGAATCAACGAGGAGTTGGGCTTTAATAATCTGCATGGGCTAATCGACCCTGAAGCATGATAGGACCTATTGCAAAGAAGAAGAACATATATAACACTTCGTAAACCATTCCATTCCGCTTTATCAATGCACAATCGCAAGCTAGTTCAAAAGTTGCTACACCCCGTTTGTAATACCGCGCAGATTTGTGTCATTCAATTTCATCATATACCTCTAGCTATCGAATCACAAACATGGCGACTCTTCAAACTCTGAAGCTAGCGCTAAGACAGGAAGCCCAGGCAACGATGTCCTCGACGCAGCCTCTATCCAATGAACAGTACAGAGATGGATTCGACGTCATAAGACGGTACTCGGATAAGTCAATTTACGAGGACTTCATCATCCCACAACTAGAAGTACTCTTGACTACTCTCCTCAGGTCACGCGGCACTATTTCAGTGCTTGAAATTGGACCAGGTCCAGAAAGTGTCCTTGGAGATCTATCTGAACATGCTAGGCAGAAAATCAGAAAATATATCGCGTTGGAGCCTAACACGCTGTTTTTCCAGTCGTTGAAACAGTGGTTGGCCTCGAGGCCATTTCCTTGTTTAGAAAGCCCACCCGATGTTCGAGAAATCCCATTCACTCTAGATGATAGAAATGAAGATAGCGGCATTGGCGTTGGCCATTTTGATGAGAAATTCGACATCATTCTTTTTTGCCACAGCATGTACGGCATGAATTCCAAGGACAAGGTTTTAAAACAGGCCAGAGACATGCTTGTTGAGAAACCAGAGAGTGGGATGATTGTGGTATTTCATCGTGACGGAGTCCTGCAGTTTAACGACTTGGTGTGTCATAAGACGGCCTCGTTCCCTGCCGGAGTTAGTCGCATCCAAAATGCTCCCGAGATACTGGATCGTTTCACTCCTCTCATTGCAGGTTTTGTCATGCAGGACGTCAATGTGGATGAAGCCATGCGACTCAAGTGGCGCGAAGTGTGCTCCGCGCTGGCTCGTCGCGAGCAAGCCCAGCCGGAGTATCTCTTGTTTAGCTCGCCCAACATCATGGTGACCTTTACCCGAGATGCGACTATGCTACCAGCCCTAACGGGACGTGTACCACGGAGTGATGGGCAGAGGATAGTTAAAAACCGAGAGGCTCGTTCCCGCCACCCCGTCCCTGTTGTTGTGCCAAGGGATGTTCAGCAAATCCAACTTTGCGTCCAATGGGCTTTGACCTACAAGGTCGGCTTGACCGTGATCGGTGGGGGCCATAGCGGCCATTGTCTTTGGCCAAATGTTGTATCAATTGATATGGCTGCCTTTAATCAAGTACACGTTGTCTCTTCCGACGACGACATAGGGGAACCCGGGTCTAATCACGGTCCATGGGTCCTCGCCGGAGCTGGCTGCAACACTGGTGATATCATCCGCAAGGCCGCATCAGCAGGCTTAACTGTACCACTGGGGTCCCGGCCGAGCGTAGGTGCGGGACTCTGGCTGCAAGGCGGCCTTGGTCACCTATCTAGATCACACGGGCTATCGTGCGACGCAATTGTAGGTGCTGTCTTGGTCACCGTTGACGACGGAAGGATTGTTCATATTGGCCATGTACCAGCCCAATATCGGCCAGCCGGTTCTGTACGCCCCGACAACGAAGAGGATTTGTTATGGGCAATCAAAGGCGCCGGAACAAATTTTGGCATCGTGGTCAGCGTCACTTTCCGGTCCTGTGCTGCTCTGAGCTTTTCAGTCCGGAACTGGATATTCTCACTTGATGATGAGCTCCAGGCAGAGCATAGGCTTGGTCATCTAGACCAAGTAGCCACAAAGCTCGCCCGAAACTGTTCCGTAGATGGATATTTATATTGGGATAATGATCAGCTTTATCTTGGGGTGACAGTATTCGAATCTACAACGACCAAGCACGATTTGGAAGCATCCGAGAATGCATATGCAATTCTTGGAATCGAACACCACCACCAGGTTGTCGACGGCGTTGGTCTGTTTGACACCGAGATGTATGTATCCTTGATGCACGGCGGCCACAGCAGTGGCAAGACCTCCGCATTCAAGCGATGCATTTTCCTAAAGCACATTAGAAATGCGGATATCCGCAATATCTTGGTGTCGGCTCTAAACTCTCGGCCCTCCAGACTTTGTTACCTTCATCTACTGCAAGGTGGCGGGGCGATCCGTGACCTGACGGGCGATGCCTCTGCTTTCGGCTGTCGAGACTGGGACTTTGCTTGCGTCATAACTGGCGTCTGGCCTCGCAATCAGGACGGAACTGATACGGCTCGAGAGGCCATGCAATGGGTTTACAAAATTGCTATGGAGTTGTTACCTCTAAGTAGCGGAGCATACTGTGCAGACCTTGGGCCGGACCCTCGAGATGCACCACTAGCCAGAGCTGCTTTTGGGTCGAATCAGCCGCGTCTATCCCGTCTTAAATCTCTTTTGGACCCCCATAACGTTTTGGCTTATGCCTGTCCGCTTCTGGAACTTCCCACGAGACCGAAGCTCATTATTCTTGTCACAGGTAAAAGCGGTGCCGGCAAAGACCATTGTGCAAACTTCTGGGCTTCTCTATTCAGTGCTCGGAGCCTTGAGGCACGTGCAGTAAGTATCAGCCAGGTGACGAAGCAAGAATATGCGGCGGCTACTGGTGCCGATCTGAACCGTCTGCTGTTCGATCGTGGTTACAAGGAGCAGCATAGGCAAGCATTGACGAAGTTTTTCCAGGAACAGGTGGCAAAAAGGCCTCAGCTTCCACAGGATCAATTTGTCAGAGTAGTGTGCAATGCTTCAGATGTAGATGTACTATTCATCACGGGTATGAGAGACGAGGCACCAGTTGCAAATTTTTCGCAATTGGTACCAAACAGCAAACTACTCGAGGTGCGTGTCCAGGCTAAGGATGACACATGGCGGGCTCGTCGAATCCGAGACCATAGTGAGGTCGACTGCGGCAATTGGATCCCTGATGAGATTCATGACGATGATTCGAACTCTACAGTTCCAGGTTACCGGCCTGATCTCTTCATGAACAATGACATAACTGGAGACGAATCAATAAGCAAGTTTGCCCACGATCAAATCTTTCCCTTCTTGGACCAGAAGCTGGATCGCCTTGCGGATATGGTACGGTCGATATCCGACTTTCCACGACCCGGCATCAAGTTCCGTGACGTGCTGGGCATCTCTCAGCGGCGAGATGGGCTGGCCTTGTGTACATCTCTACTGCAAACTCGTTTTTCAGGTCATTGGGCCCGGGTTGAGACGATAGTTTGTTGTGAAGCCGGTGGCTTTGTTTATGCATCAGCTCTAGCTGCGAGGGTCAATGTGCGCTTGGCGCTCATCCGAGAGGCTGGCAAACTGCCTCCTCCCACTGTGTCCGTGTCCAAGTGTCCATCGCATATCTCAGCTTTAGGGCCTTCTGGTTTAAAGGATAAGGTGATGGAGATGGACAGTAATGTGATTTCCAAAGGATCAACAGTGGTTGTGGTGGACGATGTACTTGCCACTGGGAAGACACTTTGCGCAGTGTTGCAGTTGTTGCAAAGCGTCGGGGTCACTGCCAAGGATATCACCATCAGTGTTGTTGCCGAGTTTCCCGTGCACGGAGGTCGAGCGTTCCTCCATCGTGAAGGCTTTGGCGAGGTTAAGGTTGAAAGCCTACTAGTATTTGGCGATGCTTAAGTATTTGTAGGTAGTCTTACTTCTAACCTCTCTCTATCTCTAGTGATCTATATTCTCTTATGCTTCGATCTACCTCAATATTTACAAGCTATAGTGAACAAAAGGAACCCAGTAGAGTGTAGTGTAGTCTTCCTCGTCACACTTTAATGCGTCCCTCGGCTCCCTCTTCAATGTGATACGGTCTAGGCTTGATTATTGGTATTTTCATAGAGACGCAGATGCTCTCTAATACGTCTATTCCGAGATTTGCGAAGTCAAGCCTTGCCTGTCTTGGTGTTGTTCACATACCAAGCAACGATGCAAAACCCCAACCCTAACCCCTTTTTTGCTAGAGCCGGTTATCTTAGAATCAACTCATCTCCTCAATAATCTATTCAAGCGGCAGTTCTCCTAGCGATGTGTCAATTGAGAATTAAGCCTGTTGTGTTGAAAACATTCCTAAACCGACCACGCGACTAGAACATCTCTTGAAACGCTATGAACTTGTTGATCTAATTATTGTAGATATTCGTACATGAATATTAAGTATATATAGTGAATTAATTTTAGACAGGAGACCAGATACGCCTGGGACCTAAGATCTCGCAATCTCCTGGATAGCACCCTCGTACAAGTGGCGCGTGCTATCGCTATCCCCAGACTCACGGCTACCCCCGTTGCTGTCCACATCGATCCTCGTGGTGACTTTAATCTGGCTTCGGTCATGGTGAAGGGTGCCCGGTACGGAGGAATTCTTGCCTATCGCCGTCGTTGATTTCACGTTTGTCTTAATATTCTCCATGTGAATCGCCTCCCCCCGACCCGTCATCGGCCGGCCCTTTGTATCCTTCTTCGTCCGGCTACCAGAAAGCTCGACAAAGGCGCCTGTGTTGACACTCGTCAGGCCGTTTAAAGTGTTGCCTGTGCGGTGCTGCACGAATTCGACGAGCTGGCCAAAAACGGCGAATTCGAGCTTCAGCTTGATCGAGTATGTAATGACCTTGACTCCCTGCTCCCAGAGGAACAAGCTCTTATACTCGATGGCGAGGAGAGCAATGTTCATGATAATTATAAACACATTGATGGAGTACAGCTTCAATAGGAACACCCTCTTACTACCAAAGGCTGTTTTGAGGATCTCGATCGTCTTCCAGATGTAGAGCCCAGAAATTATGAACTCCTGGACGCAGAAGACGGTCATTTGCACCTTTTCTAGGACGCCGAAAAAGACATGGTTGAAGACCACCTTGGTATCACCGGTTGTGTAGGCCGAACCAAAGAGAAGGACAGTGATGGTAGTGTGCCAGACGACGCCGTTGACAATGATCATGCCCAACACGCCCCGCAGAATGGTCCTATTCTGAAGGACCAGATGAAGCCTCGAGTACAGAACCATTGAATGCCCTGAGACCAGCAAGATCCACCCGATGGAATCAATGGTCATTCCCACCCACGCATGGCTGAAGCCGAATTGGACAAGCATCCACCCAATACAGTAAGGGATGATTCCAAAGGAGGCGAGGGAGATGCTCCAAAAATACAGGCCGCGGCGTCGCTTGAATTTAAGGAATATAAGGACGAGGAGCTCGACGGCGTTGTACAAGGATAGAACTGTGGCGATCTACGCGGCAAGGGGGAAGGGGCCATTAGCACAAGTAATTCTTTTTCCGGTGGTCTTTGGCAGTTGATCAACTGAAACATAAGAGGAGAAGGAGATAAGCACTTACCAGAACCAGAACATCCTCGGAGGAATAGATATTCTCAGTCATCCTCCTGAGAAGTCTCCCTCCAGGGACTGCATCCATGAAGGCCGCCATGTTGACAACCACATTTGGGGTTAAGATGCCAGGGGGGAAAATGCAATGCACACAGCCCACCAAACTCAGGATCACCCCCTCTTTTTAACCGTGGTAGAGCCTTTCCCCCCTCTGACGCCAGCGCACATGTTCTGTTAGTCGAGATCCTTCCGACCTGGGATAGAAAGACTAATTCTAGTAGCATTCATCAGAAGGGGAATAGTTATCTACTACGGCTAAGGTAGCGCTTCGGGGTAGTTAAAGGGTGCCCAATCCCCATGGCCAAGTCCAGTGGCCCACCTCCGCGAAGGCCGTTGATGAGGTGGTGATGGGGAAGCGGAGCTGGAAACTAAGAGGTGGTGTGTTGGGGCATAACGGTGCTGGTCTGAATATGGCCCAGGCCCCGAGTCAGTCTAGCTCCAGCGCCACAATGAGGCTTTCGCAATCCGATTCGCTGTATTAATGAATGCGTACGAATTACGAGACGGCCAAGTTCACTCCGAGGAGCTCCCTCTCTGCATAGTAAGAGTGAACTAGGGCGATGGCCGATCTGGAGAAACTATGGAGTAGGCCATAAACTGAGCAGAACCAAGCTCAACTTGAGAGACTTTACATATGGGCCAGAAATATAACACGATTATCTTTCACTTGACCGATGGGGTCGGATGTATTGGTGATGTTATAACCAAGCATTGTGGGGGAGGGGGGATCGACAAACACGAGGGCCAAAACCCCTCCCCGCTGCTGGAGCGGGCTTGGGGTAGTGGGTGAAGAATCCAAGAGTGGTTTAGGGTTTGGGACTAATAGACTGTGGAGGGTGTGGCTATTTACTTGCCTCGTGACATGCCATGAACGATTCCGCATGAATAGAAAGTGGCATTCTGCAGAACAGTAGCGATCAATACTTGAGTCTGCTACCTTGGATTTTCTAAGATCCGTCTAATGGAAGCAAAAATGTCTGAGCCAACGGTATGGCCCGGCCCTCCTACCCAACAAGAGCTAGCCATACTCATTAAGTCATTATCGCAACCAGTCAACCAAAAACTGGGTTTCATCGGCCTCACAAGTCTTAGGTATTTTACACACTAACTACCTAATCAACTACAAGGAGGAACAGTCCTCTTCAACATCTCTTATAATCCCGTTAATAGTCAACGTCGTGGTGCCTCCGTAGCATACAGGTTTACTACTATTGTTTTATCATAATTTACTTCGCCATCTCCCAACACATTGATTCGCCAAAATAACGATCAGAGACCATACCAATGTATCCATAGCTCAGTCCATCCTCGAAAACGAGTGCAAATCTAAAGAAACTGCGAACGAGGCATCTTACCTCTTCCCTTTCAAGTCTCAACAAGCTAGTTCGTGTGCCATTCTTACTGATAGTCGCCGTTAATGTTCAATCAATCATACACATCGTGTCTACCCTTGGACTATCCGTTCAGATGCCAGGCGATTAGGCAATATGAACAATACCAGAGAAACGAATTGGCACAGTAAATCGTCACGCATCTTGCGGTAGCACCAGTACTAGTCGCGAGGAATAGAAGTCTTGAATTCAAAACTAACCCTATCAAATATCAAAAGCGCGGACTCACTCCGATCACGAAGTAGTCGGCAAAGTCCCTGAGTAAACCCTTGTTAGGCTACTCATTTCGGAGTAGCCTAATCAGCTCAGTAGTCATCTCCACGACTCACGACCTCCTTTACGGTAGGTCTGAGCAAAACAGTCTGGCGGGTCTTGTCAGTTGAACTGTACACAGAATCAACCCATCTTGCGCGGGGAATTCACTTACATGCTCGAATTGGGCCGTGTAGGAACCTTTCTTGTCCACCAAAGGTGGGTAGTCTTCGACAATCCCAGACTTGACGAGGTGGTTGAGCTGCCGATATGTTAGCGAGACTGCGCGTCAGAGGAGAACGTGATTGGTTGCCCTACACCGAGGAGGTATTTCTCCTGCCCGATCCTGTCCAAATAACGTCGGCAAAATGGAAGAGTGCCAAAATTCTTCTTGATAGCATTCAAGACAGACTTGGCGGAAGACAAGCGCAGCTGCACGTTGGGTGCGTCGCCAGACAGGGCATAGTGGGAGACTTCGCCCTGATCGTAGACGCGGCCATTACCAGTGCTACCAAACGGCTCGATGGCAAACACGTCGCCCTCCTCCATCTTGGTGTCGTCATCAGTCAAGATGGAGGGCACTGCCTTGGAGCCATGGATGCTGTAGTGCAGGATGTTGTGGCCGGTGATGTTACGGATGGGCTTGATGGGATAAACCTTGCCATCAAGCTCCAGCTCGTAGCTCTCCATGGCCTCTTGGATGTAGCCGCCGAGTTCTCCAAGGCGGACATCGATCCCTGCCTCGCGGATGCCTGTGTTGGAGGCATCCTTGACGGCGTTGAGGAGGTTGTCGTATTTGGGGTCAAACGACATGGTGAAGGCGCTGTCGACAATGCGCCCATTGACATGGACGCCAATGTCCACCTTCATGACACTGCTCTGCTGCAGAACAGTCTTGTCGCCCGCGTTCGGGCTAAAGTGCGCCGCTATTTCATCGAGGTTCAATCCGAGCGGGAAGCCCATGCCCGCGGCGATGGCGTCGCCCTCGGTGAGCCCGTCGTGGCCGACGAGGCGGCGGACACTGTCCTCGATGCCGTTGGCGATCTCGGTGAGCGTCTGCCCCGGCTTGATATTCTTCTGCGCCCACTGACGGACCTGGCGATGCGTTTCAGCTGCCTGGCGGAAGTCGGCGAGGTAGTCGCTGTTGAGGTTGTCGAGATAGCGTTTCTCTTCGTTCGTGGTGCGGTACAGGTTGTCGTCCTTGTACTCGACCTCTTCGCCCTTGGGGTAGCTCTTGTTGGGGAACAGCTGGGACATGAGGACGGACGGCGGATCGGTCTGGGCGGTCGGGGTCTTGTTCTTCTTCTTGCGGGGCCTGTTCTTTCTCTTCTTCTTCTTGCTGGCCTCGCCGTCACCCGCAGCGCCTGGGGCGTTGGTCACATGGTCGTCGGCGTCGTCGTCGGATTCGCCAGAGCATTCGGCGGCAGCATCGCCCTTCTTCGGCGCGCGATTGCCGGCACCCCCGTTGGTGGCTTTGGCCGCTTCCTTGGCTGCCAACTATTGTTAGGCGGGGGTTCTTGTCTGGGAGATGTGCGACTAACCGTTGAGGGCCTGGGTATCGTCGGCCGGGATTCTGGCAGCCATTTTTGCGAATGGGAAAGTATATATTGACTACAAACTCGAGTCTGGCTGGTTGTATGTTTGAAAAGTGAGGCAGTTGTGGAGAATTCTTGGGCGCGCCGGGTCGTATGAGCATTATCCAGGTAACAGCAACATGCCTCTATCGGGGCCCCTCTGGTGCGCGATGGTAGCCACCTTGAAGCCGTCAAGGCCATCTCGTAAGTCGCATTCTATTGTAAAACGAAATGGTTTAAATAGAGTCTTTTTTTTTTTTTTCTCCCTAAAAGCGACTTGAGATTTCACCAAAAAAATGCATAGGTGAGTGGGCAAACTTGCGTTCCGACCTCTCTTCAATCAGCCAGACCTTAACCCTTCCTATTTCCGTCGTCGCATTCTCTTGGGTAAATTCTCTCTAAATGTCACTTTCTACTCCAAATTACTAAGCTAAATGGCGGGATATTGTCAACACGCGGTGCTGTATGTCTTCATTTTTTGGCTTGTAAGGCATGCCAATCATATTGGTAGAAGGAGTCGTATCGGTCAACTTTTGTGGTTGATATTAGCGATTCTCAATTACACGGACAGGAGCAGTACAGCATAAAAACACAGCAAGTCAGGCAATTCAGATTGTAGGGTTTAGAAGAATTACTACTCATATGAATGCATTCAAGCATTGTAGAGCCTCAAGCAGAGGCAATTCAAGGGACTTGGGTATAGGGTAAGTCGTCTTACCAGAGTCAAAGTCTACAAGCGTAGAAGTCAGAAGACTAATCACAACAATTCATTTAGGGACAAACAGCGATAACATCCCGAAAGATTATAGATAATTGTAGTACATTGATTTTGTGGAAAGATTTGAAGTATGGCTGTCTTTTGATAACACCTGATGTAGGCTGTATGAGGAAGAATAAAGCTTGCAAGTGCTGACAGATATCACGATCAAGCCTGTGAAAATTCATGTTAGTGAGTTCATCTCGATGTTGAGCATAATATTGAGACAATGTCGGCCTCTTTCTCGTGAGTGACCGGGCCATGTTCCATTTGATCAGCGCTACGTTTGCTCTGAGTCAACGGCCCACCATCCACTGCCGCTGCTTGGCAGTACGTTTGAGTTGAGCTGCTTTTTTGGGCCAGAGTTCTCGAGGAAAGATCCACCACCCCTTAGAGAGACAGAAGCTGTGTTGGGTGCTGGGAACATCCACGGTCGGCGTAGTGTTGCTCATTCAAGGCGTCTTGACAGCATCTTGCCCCTCCTTGCCCTCTTTCTCGTCCTTGTCGCTTCGCTTCGTAAATATCTCATCAATAACACCTAGCTCAAGTGCCTCCTCCACGCTCAGGTACTTGTCGCGTTCCATCATGTCGTTGATCTCGTCTATAGTATATCGGTCGTGGCCCTTCGCCGTGTTGAGATGGTATCGCATGATCTTGTTTGACTGCTCGCGTATACGTTGAATCTGGTTTGCGTAGATGAGAATATCCGAGGCCTGGCCCCGCGTTCCGCCGAGAGGTTGATGAATCATGATGGAGCTGTGTGGTAGGGCGAACCGCTTGCCGGCTTCGCCGCCAGCGAGGAGAATTGCGGCCATGGATGCAGCGCCTCCGACACAGATGGTTGAGACAGGGGATTTGATATAAGTCATGGTATCATAGATGGCCATTCCTAGCATTCCATGTGAGCTTTCGTCTCGAGATTCGGCGGAGGTTAACGCTCACCCGAGGTGACAGAGCCGCCTGGAGAGTTGATGTACATTGTAATCGGCTTGTCGGGGGTGTCGGACTCAAGCCATAGCAGCTGAGCAACAATAGAAGCGGACATATAGTCGTTGATCTCGCCATTCAGACAGATAATTCGCTCCTGGAGGTGGAGTTAGCCTCGATGCATTGGTGGGCTGGAGCACGCGACAGA